AGATTGAAGATGTGAGTAGATGTAGAGATGTAGAGAATATAGAACAGAGCCAGAGGGTGACCACAGTATTTGAGAGGAAAGACGGTCCAGTGGGCAAGTGGTTAGGAGGGCATTAGAAAAAAGCAACCTTGTCTGTAGTAGTGGGGTTAAATGAGAGAAGTGTTAAGTGTACCTGTGAATGTGGGGTGTAAAGTGGGGGAAATATCTGTACAGTGGAGGTCTCATCATGACTTGTATCAATTTTATTTTTCAAGTGATAGGCGATCCCTGGACAGTGAGTGAGTTAGTGGGGGACCCAGTAGAGTTAAAGGTAGAGAAGAATTGACAGGGACTGGATGAGAAGTTGCTAATGAGAGTGATAAAAGAGGTATACTTGGCAGTGTGGAGACAGGAATTATATTTTTAGAGGGCAGATTTATATTGGGTAAATAAACTTTCAAAACCTTTGACAGTGAGCAGAAGTTTTGTTTTGCATATCATGTTGTAGTAGTAGGGTAGAGCTTTAACGTGTTTGTAAGCCTTTAAATATACCCCAGTGAAGTGACTGGCTTCAGGTGAGACACATAGAATAAACAAATCATCCTACAAAAGGTGTACCTGTTTATCTACAGTCTTCTCTTCTCTACATCCATTAATAGTCCAGCATTTATACAGCTTGTCTGAGCTTTCAGAGAGCAGGGGGCAAGGGGCTGAAATTACACACTGCAGAGCTCAGTGGTAACTGATTGGAGGGAAAGGACACACCCTCCTTCATACAGCATACAAGAATAGAGCTGAGGCTGGCAATCACAAGCTATGTGCTGGAGCTCCCTCACCTGTCACCTTTTTAGCTCTTGGTGTCAGGAAAACCTGTCAGAAGTGACTCATGCTGATAGCAGAGGAACAAGGCATTGGCAGCAGACAGAAATGATACTTAGTGTTCTGAACTGAGACACGTACACACTATAGAGGGATTTGCTTTGTTTATATTTCCTGCCTGAGGTTTACTGCCATTTTAAAACTGAACTCCAGCCTTCCCTTCAGTCTTGCACAGTTGTCCACATCATTTCCTGACTGGAAGACACTCCGCATTGTCTAGTTCTTTTCTCTCCAGCCTAGCTGTCTCTGACCTGTCCCTTTCTTTCATTGCATTTCATTTTTTCAGCTATGGAGGCTCATTATTACATGTGGGTGAAACCTAAGGTGGTCAGCACACCTGCCTAGGATTGCCCACTCCTCTAGACTCACATCCACCCATCAGGGCATATGTCTGCTACCAATAGCCAGCCCACTGCATGCATCAGGGATGAGGGCTCTTGAGAGGAGTGTTATGTTTTCAGTAAGTGATATACTGCACACTGATGGCCCCTCCCACAGCCCTGATCTAACTGCATTGCATAGAGAAGCACAGATACCCAGTGATGATATCAGAGAGTCTAAAATAGGGTATGTAAAGAAAATAGAGGTTTTATTTAAAAATGTCATTAGCATGTTGATGAGGTGGGAGGAAGGAACCAGCAAAAACAAAATATAAACAAAGTAAACTTTAGTTTAAAGCTCAAAATTGATACTTAAGGACAAGGATCCTAATTTTAGCCCGAAAACTGTAATTTTAAAAGCTGATAAAACTCAGCAGTTACTTTTATAAAAATATCCTAATGTGCTAATTTTGTGAATTGTATGGTATGCTAAGCACACAACAGTAAATGTGGGCAGAGCTGATCCCTTTATAGAAATGGCTTGGGAAGTTTATGACTAAGTATTCTTCTATGAAATATAATTGGAAAGCTTGCGTACTATATTTACATTTCAATGACCACTGTATACAGTTAAATGTCTATATTAAAACTATACATGCAAATATCTTGAGTATTCTTTTAATGCATTCTTTTTCTATAGTTTTCATTATTTTTCATTTTAGGTGACATCTACAAACAATGCAGTGCACAGTAAAGTATAATGACCATAAATGGGGAAATGCAATGATGCAAAATGATTTACATAAGAAATATGACATACAAAGTGATAACATTAATGTCTTTTGGACAGTGTCAAGAGCCCAAGGGGGGGATATACTAAAACTGGTGTGGGTGGGGTCTGCTTTCCCTGTACATGGGGACCCTCCATGAGTGCGCTTGTTAACCACTTGCCTACCTCCTATAGCAGATATACTGCTACAGGTCACATATACAGTTGTGTTCAAAATAATAGCAGTGTGTTGAAAAAAGTGAATAAAGCTCAAAATCCTTCTAATAGCTTTTATTTCCATACACACAAATGCATTGGGAACACTACACATTCTATTCCAAATCAAAGCATGAAGAAAAATATATCAAATTTGTGTTGTTCCTCTAAAAAAATTGAAGAAAAGTGAATATTAGACTGTTCAAAAAAATAGCAGTGTTTGTATTCTTCTTTACATACTCAAACATTCACTATATAAACTGAAAAATGTTTGAAGATTTTGCTTTCCTTTGAATCACTTAATGAATATTTAGTTGTATAAGCACTGTTTCTGAGAACTGCTGTACATCTGTGTTGCATGGAGTCAACCAACTTCTGGCACCTGTGAACAGGTATTCCAGCCCAGGATGATTGGACTACATTCCACAGTTCTTCTCTATTTCTTGGTTTTGCCTCAGAAACTGCTTTTGTGATGTCACCCCACAAGTTTTCTATTGGATTAAGATCCGGGGATTGGGCTGGCCACTCCATAACGTCAATCTTGTTGGTCTGGAACCAAGACGTTGCACGTTTACTGGTGTGTTTGGGGTCGTTGTCTTGTTGGAACACCCATTTCAAGGGCATTTCCTCTTCAGCATAAGGCAGCATGACCTCTTCAAGTATTCTGATGTATTCAAACTGATCCATGATCCCTGGTATGCGATAAATAGGCCCAACACCGTAGTATGAGAAACATCCCCATATCATGATGCTTGCGCCACCATGCTTCACTGTCTTCACAGTGTACTGTGGCTTGAATTCAGTGTTTGGGGGTCGTCTGACAAACTGTCTCCGGACACTAGACCCAAAAAGAACAATCTTACTTTCATCAGTCCACAAAATGTTGCGCCATTTCTCTTTAGGCCAGTCAATGTGCTCTTTGGCAAATTGTAACCTCTTCAGCACGTCTTTTTTTCTACAGTGGGACTTTGCGGGGGCTTCTTGCAGATAGCTTGGCTTCACATAGGCGTCTTCTAATTGTAACAGTCCTCACAGGGAACGTCACACCTTCTTTGATCTTCCTGGAGCTGATTGTTGGCTGAGTCCTTGCCAGTTTGGCTAATCTTCTATCCATTCGAATGGTAGTTTTTCACTTTCTTCCACGTCTTTCAGGTTTTGGTTGCCGTTTTAAAGCATTTGCGATCATTTTAGCTGAGCAGCCTATCATTTTCTGCACTTCTTTATATGGTTTTCCCCTCTCCAATCAACTTTTTAATCAAGGTACTCTGTTCTTCTGAACAATGTCTAGAACGACCCATTTTCCTCAGAATTTCAGAGAGAAATGCACTGTAACCAGCATGTACAACATTTGCTGCCTTTCTTCCCTAAATAAGGGCAATAATTGCCACCTGTTTTTCAAAGAATGAATGACCTCACTAATAGAACTCCACACTGCTATTATTTTGAACATGCCCCTTTCAATTAATGATTCAATTACACAGAATCAGCAGCATGCATGTCATGACTGTTGGGTCTGTTGGATTTCTATTACTCTACTACACCTGCTAGTAAATTATTTGCCGTGTAGAAATATCATTTCTACCAAAAACAGTGATTGATCAGGTTAGTGATGTCTGACTGCTATTATTTTGAACACAACTGTATATGTGATTTTACATTTGTGGGTAGGGGGCACGTGCACTGCCCTACCCACGCTGCCATTGGTTGCAGCAGATGTCAATCACCGGTCCCAGCCAGCGATTCTCGGCCAGCACTCGGTGATCATTGATGAAGCTGAGAGGGGAGAGGTCTGTGTGTAAACAACACAGATCTCTCTCCTGTCAGCATGGACATGCTGCTTTGTATCTCTCTGCACAGCATGTCTTCCTAGTAAAACAGCACACAGTGCAAGCACAACACACAGCTAACCCTTTGATCACCCAAGATGTTAACCCATTCCTGCCCAGTGTCATTAGTACAGTGTCAGTGCTTTTTTTTTAGCACTGATCCCTGTATTAGTGTCACTGGAGATGTCAGTGACCATTAGTTAGTTCCCACCGAGTGTCAGAATGCCCTCCGCAGTCCCGCAGACCTGCTATAAGTTGCTGATCGCTGCCATTACTAGTATAAAAAAAATTAATAAATAAAAATTCCAGTATATATACCCGCCATTTCTAAACGCTATAACTTTCATGTAAACCAATTAATTAATTACACCTATTGGGATTTTTTTGTAACAAAGACATGTAGCAGAATACATTTTGTCCTAAACTTATGAAGAAATTTTATTTTTTTACATTTTTTCCATTAGATATGTTTTACAGCAAAAAGTAAAAAATATAGGGTTTTTTTTTTTTCCAAAGTAGATTTTTTTTGTTTATACCGCAAAAAAATAAAAACCGCAGAGATGACTAAATACCACCAAAAGAAAGCTCTATTTGTGGGGAAAAAAAGGCATACATTTCATTTATGTATAGCGTTCCATGACCATGCAATCTTCAGTTAAAGTAACACAGCACGGAATCACAAAAAAATGGCCTGGTCAGGAAGGGGGGTAAATTCTCTGGAGGGCAAGTGGCTAATGCTCAGGAACCAGCAGGGGCAGACTGACAACTCATGGGGGCCCCGGGCAATAGGGGATCATGGGGCCCCTGTGTCCTTGCCCAAACTCAAAAAAGCTCATGAAAAAGGTACCAGGGGCATCTCATGGGGCCCTCTACAGACCCCGGGCCCTTGGGCAGTGCCCGAGTTTCCAAATGGTCAGTCCGCCCCTGGGAACCAGGCAGGCTGGTGGTCATGTGACAATCAGCATTAAGGTGGCACTCTATACTTAGACGCAAGCAGTCCACCTTACACAGATACACATTAGACGTGGGCTCTATAACTATGAGACATTCTTCCTGTGACACTGTATACCTTGTTTTCTTGAATGCAGCATTTTGCTAATTCATGCTAAAATGGAAGCTTTTGAAAAAGACCAGAGGCAAACCCGACATGATATGGCAGCCATGAATCAAACACTGCCTACCTCCTGACTTCGATGAGGCCGTGCTTTTATTGTGGTAAAATGCTCTAGACTGTATGCCTAGTTCCCTAGCCAGCTAGAGCCGCATCACCTTAGGGGAATCTCTCCTTCTTTGTCTCTCTGTCTTTCCCACTTTCTCTCGCTCCTTCTCTTCCCAGAATGGGCCCTGTGCCTTGCTACCAACGCCATGGCTGAGCCAGAGACTCAACAGTTGACTCAACCATGTTCTACTACCTATATGGAAAAAAACATATTTGAAATATATTTTAAAAATATTCTTCCCAAATATATTCACATACAATTTTAAATATTTTTGAAGTACTACAATTTTGGCCATATTCAATATATTTCAAAATATATTTCAATAAATATACATATATCCACCTCCTGTCCAGATGGCCAGATGGTGGCAGTGCAGGGTCGGGTGGCCGTTTATAAACGGCCTCCCCGCCCACTGCTTGTGCGTGCTCCCTGGGAGCACCGCGATCCGGGGCCCACTGTGTCCAGTGCCCGCTGTGTGCCCTCTGTGAATGATCACAGAGGTCACATGGTACAAGGCTATTCGCAACAGCCTTGTACCATGTGACAAGCTGTGACCAATTACAGCTCACACAGTAGTTCTCAATGGCTGCAAGAATGCAGCAAGAGAGAAGGAGAAATGATTGCTTTTACAGCCTTTATGGGTGTAAAAGCAATCAGTGCAAAAGTGTATACTTTTTGGTTATAAACTAATTTGGGTTATTTTCTTTTTTTTTTTACTAAAAAGATAACATTTTGGCCAAGATTTATGATGAAATATTATTTATTTGCAAAATTTCTATTTTTCAAAATTTTTGGACTTTTTAATTTACATAGCAAAAATAAAATAAAAATCCCAGTGGTGAATAAAAATAAAAATAAAGCACCAAAATAAAGCTTTATCTGTCTCAAAAAAATGCTAAAAAATTAATATGGGTACAGTGTTTGCATGACCACGCAATTCTTATTCAAAGTGTGATAGCACTGCAAGCTGAAAATTGTCCTGGACAGGAAGGGGGTAAAAGTGTCTGCACTGGAAGTGGTTTTATACAGTATATATATATATATATATATATATATACTGTGTATGCCTTTAGGTGATCTTTGAAAACTCACTTCTTCAGGGAAGCCTACCCCACCTCCACCTAAAAACTGTACTTGAATCACCTCCGCCAGACCATCCCCCGCAGTTATCACCTTTTGTATCGCCTCCCCCCTTCCTTTAATTGTAAGCTCCACGAGTCGGGCCCTCACATTCCTTCTGTACTGAAATGTATTGTAATTGTACTGTCTCCCTTATATTGTAAAGCGCTGCGCAAACTGTTGGCGCTATATAAATCCTGTATAATAATAGTAATCTCTGGGGAAGCTGAAAAGTGCTGTAGTAGGTGCCGCTACTACAGTGATCACTTATGGGTCCTGTTCTGAGCAGATGCTGTGCTTAATAGTGAATACAGCGAATTCCTCCCTGCCCTGCTCAGCATAGGCTCCATTCAGAGAAATCTTTGCATTTTCTTAATTAAAGCACTCTCTGATTGGATGAGGTGGAGAGGCGGAGCAGGGACATTACAAACTCCACCTTGTTTAATTACTTGAAGTTGCACAATTTCAAAATCGCATGTCAGGGCAACTTCAGGTGCGAACTGGCAGACATCTGTGCGAGTTCATGCACAGATGTCTATGCCAGTCGCACCTGAAATCACAAAAAATAATGGCAGGAACTACATCCAAACACAGTGCGACTCCAAATAAGTCACACCAATTTTAAAGGTTCCATTGCTGACAATAGGGTGTGACTTGTCATGCGATTTGAAACTGTCAAATCGCATGACAAGTTTCAGGGGTGTGAACCAGGGCTAATGCAGTTATTACGTCTAAGGATTGGTAATCTACTATATATTATATTTTTGTTTTGGGGTTTTGATACACTTTAATTCTACACCTTATTTATCATGCAAAGGTTTGCAAAAGCAAAATGTAGATAGCATCTCTGTAATGATAAAAAAAATGTTCTTATGATCACAAGACAGTACTGGACAACCTCAAGCTGCAAATTTAGCTACTGTGTGCCAGTGCATTTATTAAAAATGTAGGTTATCTTTACTTATTATATCTCTACAGTGCTGATTTTGCACATCTCACCTTTGTGCCAGTTTTATATGCATATTTCTGCTGGATTTTGAGTTTTACAACTTCACTGCCATATGTACAGCAATCAGCCACAACATTATGACGACCAACCATAACATTATGATCACCTGCCTAATATTGAGTAGGCCCTCCTTTTGCCGCCAAAACAGCCCTGACTCATCGAGGCATGGACTCCACTAGACAAAGTGCCACACTGCCTCCATCGGCTTGCCTTTTTCCAATGCTGCATCATTGTGCCATTTCTTCCCCAGGTAAGCGGCATCCGCACCCAGCCAGCCACATGGTGTAAAAGAAAATGTGATTTATCCGACCAGGCCACCTATTTCTATTTCTCTGTGGTCTGGTTCTGATGCTCACATGCCCATTGTAGGCACTTTTGGATGTGGACATGGGTCAGCATGGGTACCCTGACCAGTCTATGGCTACTCCTCCCCATAGGGTATAAACTGTGTGTTCTGACACCTTTCTATTGGAACCAGCATGAACGTTTTCAGCAATTTGAGTTATAGTAGCTCTTCAATCGAATTGGACTACATGGGCCAGCCTTTGCTCCTCACATGCATTAGTGAGCCTTGGCCATCCATGACCCTTTCCCCAGTTTGATGGTTTTCCTTCCTTGGATCACTCTTGGTCGGTCCTGACCACTGCAGACTGGGAACATCCCACAAGAGCTGCAGTTTGGAAGTTGCTCTGACCCAGTCTAGCTATTATAATTTGGTCCTAATCAAATTTGCTTGAATCCTTACACATACCTATTTTTTCTGCTTTTAAACTCTTCCCAAGCCTATTCTGACACTTCTCTCTTTCATGTAAAAATCATCTTCTTTTTTTTTTGCTAGAAAATTACGAAGAAATCCAAAACATTACATATTTTTTTTTAAGCAGAGGCCCTAGAGAATAAAATGGTGGGTGTTGCAATTTGTTATGTCACACAGTATTTGTGGTTATTTATATGCACATTTTTTTAAAAAAATTCACTTTAATGAATTTTATTGCACACAAACACAATATAATATCCATTTTTTGGTAAAAAATAAAATATGATATTATGCCGAGTAGATAGATAACTAACATGTCACACTTTAAAATTGTTTATGCTTGTAGAATGGCGCCAAACTATGGTACTTAAAAATCTCTATAAGAAACAATTTAAATGCCTTTACAGGTTACCAGTTTAAAGTTACACAGGAGGTCTGGTGTTAGGATAATTGATCTCACTTTGATGTTCACCATGATACTTCACGTGTGGTGCAGTGGCCCTTATGTATGCGTGCAGGACTGACACATGCTTTAGCCTTTGTGCAAGCATGGGGGGATGGGGTTTCTAATACCATAGATGTGGTCGGAGTCAATCAGGTCTCTAAACACGTCTATGGTAAGCCAGCACAACCGCCAGCTGAAAACTCTAGTCTCCCAGTAGGATGGGAGAGATCGAGAGAGCCCTTGAAGGCGGTAAGGGGTGGGTGGGACAAACTCTCCTGGCACCTGTAAAAGCAATCCATTGACTAACTAGCCACTAGGATGGCTTTTACATTTTACGGAATTGCCAACTGAAAATAAAAATACCAGGATGATGCCTGTAGCTGCAGGCATCAACCCAGTATAACCCCTTCAACTGGAGGACGTATGGGTATGTCCTTTCGGGGGAAGGGTATAACACATCACCTTCTGGTGCAACATGTTCACTTGCTGCCCACTTCATGCCCACTTTCAGGTGCCTTTGTAACAAGATAATCAATATCATTCACTTTACCTGTCAGTGGTCAGAACGTTATGGCTGATCAGTGTGTGTAGCATGATATATATATATATATATATATATATGCAATATATTGTCAGTAGTAATAGGACATCTGCCTTTACACGGGAACTTTAATGGCATCTCACTCTTAGTCCATGGGGTTCAATATTGAATTGGCCCACCCTTTGCAGCTATAACAGCTTCAACTCTTCTGGGAAGGCTATCCACAAGGTTTAGGAGGGTGTCTATGGGAAGGTTTGACCATTCTTCCAGAAGTGCATTTGTGAGGTCAGGCACTGATGTCAGACGAGAAGGTCTGGATCACAGTCTTAGCTCTAATTCATCCCAAAGGTGTTCTATCGGGTTGGCGGGTTGAGGTCAGGACTCTGTGCAGGCCAGTCAAGGTCCTCTACCCCAAACTCGCTCATCCATGTCTTTATGGACCTTGCTTTGTGCATTGGCGCGCAGTTAAGTTGGAACAGAAAGGGGCCATTCACAAATTGTTCCCACAAAGTTGGGAGCATGAAATTGTCCAAAATGTCTTGGTTTCCTGACACCTTAAGAGTTCCCTTCACTAGAACTAAGGGGCCAAGCCCAATCCCTGAAAAACAACCCCACACCATAATTCCCCCTCCACCAAACTTTACACTTGGCATAATGTAGTCAGGCAAGTACCGTTCTCCTGGCAACTGCCAAACCCAGACACGTCCTTCAGATTGCCAGACAGAGAAACATGATTCATCACTCCAGAGAACACGTCTCCACTGCTCTAAAGTCCAGCTATAAATACTGTGTTGTAAAAAACTGAAGAGAGTCTGGGTGACATTTTTGAGAAGAAAGGGGAGGTTGGAGTTGGCCCAACAGAACTAGACAGAGGCTTTCTAAGAATGATGTAACCTTTACGCCAGTGGTACTCCCCAGCTGGGGAGCTTGTGCCTAGAATGGACTAGTGTTGGAGAC